GCGTTCGTTTAGGGGCTGCTAAAATTATTATTTATATATTATGGGGGGGATTATGTGACATTTTAACTGAAAAAAGATCTCCACGGGCATTCCTGCTTGATATATTTGAACATTAAACTTCTCCACATCTCTAGTGAAGTAACTTTTCGTACATTTCAATACAGCGTAATCGCCAGCAGGAAATGGCCTGTGTTCCTTAAAACACCCTGTACGCATACGTGAAACTACACCGAACTAGGCAAAACAATAAAGCAAATTTAGGCACTGTTAAGTGCCGAAACTAACCGAAATCCGAACGTAGACAAAATCCCAAATAAGCACTAAAGTGCATAATAATTATCCTTACGTATCCTTCCCCTTGCATCCAGAGTTGTCCTGCTGTCCCTGGACGATGCACCGGAGCCGGTCTATTCGTGCTCCCTCGACTCGGTTCGGCCCGCGCTATGCATTTAAATTGCCTCATTATCGGCCCTTCAGCCACCTGTGATCTTCGGTGTCGGGTAAAGCAGGACAAACGGGGGATTTCCACGGCATTTTTTCGCAAAAGTGGCAAAAATTTCCCCGGCTTAAGTAGGTTAAATATGGAAAGCGCTAATGGCGAATTGATGGCAACCGGGTTTGGTAACTGGGGAGCCCAGGCAGGAATTTTAACTAAATCGACTGAAGTGATGATTATTTTCGATCGCAAAGTCGAATTGATGGAACCGCTTGAAAGAGTGTGGAAAGCCTTCAAATGATACTTCGGAACATTATCGGGCATTTTCCGACTCTAAGCCCATCTTTCATTAACTAAACTGTTCAAATCCGCGGCAAAACTCCACCCGTCCGGAATATAATAAATAAAGGATAAATCAGCATAGGAAGTTCATCGCTCACCCGTCATCGCGCTTGTACTCCGGATTCCCCCATCTGGACTCCCAAAGGTCCAGTTGACCGAATGTTCTCCACTGCTGACGTTGAGCGATAGTGGATCTGGCCCGACCGCTCTGCTTGTTCCCGATCGATCCCTCGGGATACCGAAATGTTTAAGGGATTATAAAGGTTGAATATTTTTATGTTTTGTATATTATGGGAATTGAGTGGAACTCGCTAGAGAGGAAACCGAGACTTGATAAATTCAACTTGATGATAAAGTTGAAGTTGGCCTAATGAGGAAAAATATTACCGATATTAAAATACACACGTATGTAAAGCATTCAGTAGATGCTCTCTGATCTCCTGGGTGATTGAAAATTTGCCTCATCTAGAGCGGTACTGGGTTCTACTTGGAGGAACGGGAATATTGGAAAAAATCAAATGGTTCGCAAATTTATTAGCTCTTGAAGATGCACTTTCAACTTTGTTATTAAGCAATCTTCAATCAGCTAGTTCACTCAGGGGCGGATCCAGCTTTAAATTCAGGGGGGG